TCAGCCTGCTGTGACCCCCGTCTCTGAGCCCCCAGGCGGGCCCAGCTGGCAGCCCCAGAAAGGACTGCACTATTAATAATGGCCACGCCTCTTCCTCTCCAACATGAAAATAGCTTTATTTATGATTTTGTTTGTAAAAGCAGCATCCGCTTATTGTAAAGAGTAAGCGTGGTGCTGCCTGCCCAGGTGAAGAAGGGATGGGCGTGGGGCAGGGGAATGGGCGCGGGGCGGGTGGGGCGGCATCCCTGCCACCAGCCTTGGGCATCTCTGTGCAGGGCCAGGGGCACACGGGGAGGTGTGCCCGCTGCCCCAGCACCAGCTCTCCCCTCCAGGAGCTGGGCCAGGGCGAGAACAGCGCCACGCGGGTCTACGCACCTCTCAAAACACCCACAGGAACAGTAAGAACAGTACTTTGGACTGTACGGACAGTCCGAAGGCACCTCATTCACGGGGTTATAGCAGGGCCCCCCTGGGCTGCAGGGGAGAGTCTCACACTGTTGAGCTATGGGCAGCCACTGTAGCCTGAGTCCATTGCCAGCCAGGGAGTGACCCACAGGGCACCGCAGACCTCTCCTGTTTCCCTGCTGCTCCCCTTAACAGTGTATTTCAGTTAACCCACCTGCTATTCTCCCTACTCTGTCTCTGTTGAGTCCTCTCACTCCGGCACCTCTGGCCTGCACCCCAGCTCTTGTAGCATAATAAATAAATCTTTAAAAAATACAAAAATAAACATTTGTAACAAATTAATACAGATTGTTCACAAACACATTGCCACATGGATGGGGGAGGGCGGGAGAGCAGCCACATCCTGCTGACCCACAGGGTGAGGCGCCCACTAGCACCAGCAAGGCTGAGAGACAATTTCCCAGGAAAATAACAAAATGTCCCCAAGAGGAAAATCAAATGCTGAGAGCTCTCCTCACAGTTCCAGAAAGGGACATGCCTTTCTGCACAGCCCTGCACTAAGTGCCAGGCCCAAATGATTCTCAAAGGAACCTTTGCAGCAGCGCCCCCCAAACTCATAGAACTCGCTGAGAAACAATGAAAGGAAACTCTCCCTGTTCTTGTAGTAAGACTGCATCCCGCACCCTGAGCCAGCAGCAGCACGATGGGGGACTTCCCCCAACCCTGTGGATGTGTGGGGCAGCCAAGCCGTTTCTGGGGCGAGGTCAGCACCTCTGTTCCTCCTTAAGTGACGCGGCCAGAACCTGGATGAAGCCAGGTCCGTGGGACGGCCACACCCGCCCAGGCAAGAAGCTGTCTCTCAGAAGAACCAGCTCAGCATTTCAAACACCACCAGAAGTTTACGAAGGGAGGAAGCCTTCGGCAAATTGGGAACAGCCTGGACGTGGTGACGAGCACATGTGAAAGCTAAGCTGGAGCAGCCCAAGTGGAGAAACAGGGGCTCCAGCCATTGAGTTCAGAACAGGCAAGGCCACAGGGTCCTGCCAGGACACTGACTTAAACCAGAAGAAGACAGATTGGAAGGAAAATGCAGGATTTCCACTATTTTCAGTTGACATGATGATTTACCAAAAAACCCAAAGAATCTACGAATACTAAGGATGGGGTTGAGCAGGCATCCTGGCCCCAGAGGAAACGATGACCCATGTCTTCCGCAGCGGCAGCAGATAACCGCAAGGGGACGCTGTCTGCGGCCAGCCAGAGGCCTGCCTGCCCAGCAGTAGCCGACAGCAGGTAGACTCAGCCTGCGCCAGGCTCGCATCCTGAAATTTGTTTATCCCCAGAGTCATCTCCAGGGAGATTCTGAGCAGACTCCCCAGGGCCCCGGGGGTCCTGCAGAGCAGACTGTGGTTTGAGGGACAGTCAAGCGCTGTGAGGCAGCTGGGCGCTTAGCAGCCCACCCCACTGGGACCAGCTGCAGCCCAGCGGCCAGGAAGGCGAGGGTCAGTCCAATGGAGAGGGCACCCAGAGGTGGGACATCGGCAATGGAGACAGGCCCCGGGCCAAGGGCAGTGGCAGAGTGGAGGAGGGGGCAGCTACTCCAGGACTGACTGGACACGATGTGCCACACACCCCACGGGCACACCTGGTCATCAGCCATGACCCCGCCGGCCCCCGGGGCTTGCCTGTCCCTGGGGCGGGACCACGCATGGGCTCCTGGGGTGAGGCCATTTGGACCAGACAGAGGACAGAAGCAGGTGCAGCAGGGGAAGCTCAGGGAGGCATGAGTATGGATGGCAGGCAAGGGGGACAGCCAGCCAGCGGCGTGTCCTCTGTGCGACACTGAAAGTGCAGAAGCCGGAATGTGAACCAGTCAGAGAGAGGGAGGGGTGGGCCGAGGCATTCGTCCGCATGCTACACTCTGCCCCACTGTAACCAGCTCACCCCTGCTGCCCGCCTACTGGGGGTGCAGCCTGGCTGTCTGCTCTGCCCCGGAGGGGGCAGCCGGCACCCTGGGGCATCCCTAGCCCCCACAGGGACACGCTGGTTCTGGGCATTCCCCTACTGGGCCCTCATCTCTGGCCCTGGACCCTGTTCCTGCACACTGGGGCCTTATCCCCTCAGGGAGCACAGTCCCTGGCAGCGCGGCCCATCTTAGGGGCTCCCTGCCCCGCCGGATCTGGACCAGGCCTCCTCTGAGCATGCCTTGCCTCCAGTCTCCTCAGCAGGCCCCGAGGTGCCCAACGGGGTGGTATCCCGGGACCTGGGTAGTCACACCATGGTCCCCAGGTCCAGCTGGGTCTGCTCAGGGAGGCTCTGGAGGCTGAAAGATGGAGAGGAGGGGCTCCCTGGGTCCCAGCCGGAGAATCTGAACCACAAAGGCCTGCTTCTGCCCGACGGTCAGCGAGCCTGGGGCTTCCAAGGCAGGGGCAGGTCTGTGGCGTGGGCTGGGGACTGGTTCCCAACAGGAAGCTGGGAGCCCAAGGCAGGAGGCAGCATCAGAGTGGAGCTCACAGTGCAGCCGCAGTTGCAGGCCAGCCCTGGAAGGCATCTTCAGGGGGGCCGAGTCTGTCTTCACCACTGTTGCTGACCAGTGCGGATGTGGCCGAGCCGGGCAGGGCTGGCCAAGGGGCCGGCCACCTTCCTCCCAGGGCAGGTGCTCAGTGAAGTGCCCTCTCGTGCCGGTGACAGGAAGCAGGTGAGCGAGGTCACCTGCCTGGTCTCTCCTGGGGGTCAGGCACCAGGTAAGCTAAGGGTGGGGGCAACCTCTGCTCTGCACCTGGTCATACCCACTGGTCAGGCAGGACGCCCTCCTGGTGCTGCTGGCCATCGGACGCCATCCTCACAGGGCCTGGTCTCTGCACCTCTGCCCGGCTGCTTGCAGAGAGAGTTCTTTAACAGTTTTGAAGTTTTAGGTAGCAAGCCTGAATTACAAGAAAAAAAGAATTTATATTAAAACTCAAAATACTACACCCACTTTCTCACTTTTTTACACTGAAGGCGCTGCATCTGACGTGGGACCTGGCTTGAGTGAAGTGCTGTGTGGGGTGCCCGAAGTCGCCAGCCCCGGGGAGCGTTCTCCCAGGGAGCACTCTCCCAGGGATCATACTCTGGGGGAGCATACTCCTGGGGAGCACTTCTTGAGCACAGCACCTGCTCTCGAGTGGCTAGGTGAGGTGTGCGGAGTGAGGACTCCTGCTGGAAAATGCAGGGAGCAGCTGGTGACCCAGCGTCCCGTGGGCCAGGGACTCATCCCTGCTGGGAGTGCAGGAAAGGGTCGGCAGCCCCTGTTCCGCTACGCTGCACCCCAGACCTTTCTTCAGCCAGCAGTCTCCCGCTGGCCCTGGCCTCCGAGCAGGCAAGCTGGGACGGTGGCTCCAGAGCCTTCCACTGCCCCCGCAGTGGGGAAGCAGGCAAGTCCTCTCCTGCCTCTTGCAGCCTGGCCAGGAGCAAAGGCATGAAGGACCCAGAGGGAATGGGGGGGGGGCAGCCCTGGCCTCCACACCGCTCAGGGGAGCCTGAGCCGCCACTCCCCTCACTGCCTTTGGGAGCCCCGAGGGCCCCAGGATAGAGGCTACGGCGGGATGGTGTGTGGCCGGTGGGCACACACACCACGGTCAGTTCTGGCTCAAGCCTTCGGTTCTGTGATGTCGTGAAAATGGTCCCTAAGTAAAGGAAGTTCAGTGATGAGGTCAGAATAAGAAGTTTGGGGCTAGTTTCAGACCAGAATCCTCCTCTTGGCTGCCCCACCCAAGAGGCCTGGGGATCCCAGGGCAGCGAGTGGGAGAGACGGGGTGCAGAGCCCCTCTTCCTCCCTCTGTGGGCCAGGACCCACCCCAGTACAAGACTGCTCTGTCGTGGGGAGACCAGGGGGCCTGAGAGCACCGCCCACCCTCAGCTCACCCTCCCCCCAGGCCCCCTCCCCGCAGCACCCCCTCCCAGGCCCTCCTGAGACTGGCAGATGGAAGGGGGGGACCCCTGTGCTGGGGCCCGGGGCTGTAGAAGGTGAAGGGGGAAGCGGGCGCAGGCGGTTTTGTCCCCTGTGTCTGAGGATTCAAGCAGCAGGGAGCCTTCAGGTAGCAGCACGGTGGGGCAGGGCGTGAATCACCAGGCGCTGTGGGCTGTCCGGGGCCTGCGAACCTTAACCCTAGCCCTGCCCGGAGACCAGTGCCTGCATGTGGTCTGTACCTGGTCAGGGAACAATGGCTAGCACTTGTAAATGGCCCCACAGAGACTCCCCTGCAGGATAGCTCTCGGCTTCCTCACAAAGAAAGAGCAACAAAAGGGGAAGGCGAACAAGTCAGAGGGCCTGAGCCGCGGGGGGGGGGGGGGGGGGGGGGGGGGGGCGCTCAGAAAGGGGTTCAAGTCAGTGGGCGCCCTGCGGAAGTGGCAGCGGGGCCTCTGGAGAAAGCCGAGCAGGCGCGCTCAAACCTCCACCTCTTTTGGCCGGCTCCCCTGCTCTCCACCAAGGGACTGGGGGGGCTGCCCTAGCAGCGGCCAAGCAGGCGGTCCTGCCAGCTCTGAGGAGGAGGGAGGAGGGGAAAGCGGCTCGCCCACCCCCAGCTGCAGGGAGGCGGCCCCTCCCAGCGCAGTCGGCCCAGTGCAGTGCAGGCGGGAGGATGCCGGGGCTCAGGGGCACAAGCGCAGGGCGCAGGATGCCACGGGCCTGGATGGCGCTCTGCCTGCTGGCGCTGCTGCGTGAGTAGGGGCACCTCAGGGTCAGCGCGGCGGGTCGGACCCACCCTGCGCCATCCGGCGGCAGTGGGCAGGCCTCCGGGCCACCCTGAGTCCAGCCGGATGGTGCTCACCTGGGCACCCAGCGCGTTGTTGGGGGGGGGGGCTGCTGAAAGAGCCAGGTGCAGGAGCAGAATGCAGCCAGGTGGCCACAGATGCTGTACCTGGAGGGGGCTGCTGCAAGCCAGGAGGGGAGGGCCAGGAAGGTCCTGCGCTGGGTGGGTCCAGAGGCCGGGGAGCACTTTTGGGGGGGTGTGCGAGCTTACCCACCTCGGGACCAGGAAGCCAGATTATTTGTGGCAGGGAAGGGCGGGCAGCTGGGGGGGGCAAGGCCCCCACCAAGGACCAGGAGGCAGGCAGCCGCTGAGAGTTAGGAATGAGGAGTCCCTGAAACTTTTTGCATCTAAGATGGGAGGTGGAGGCGCTGAGCCCCCTGACCCACACCCAGCTTCAGAGGCGCTGCCCTCCCCTGTCCCCACTCCCAGACAGAGGCCAGGTGGCTACCCGTGCCTCCTCCCTGCCCTCTGAGTTCTAAGCTGTGGACAGCACAGCTGGGCCCTGACTTCCTAAGCTCGGGCCCTGGTGAGGACCAGTCCCGGGGCCCTCATTTGGGGCCGCCATCCAACCCTGGGAGGGCTCAGCGGGGAGCTGCTCCTCTGCAAGTCTGTGCCCGCCCCAGGGCTGGCTCCCTGCTCTTCTGCCGATGGGTTCCACTTGGTCCAAGAGGCTGGGCTGGAGGACCGCTGGGTTCCAGCAGCCCAGGGTGGCCGCGGGGTGGCCAGACCCACCCTTTGGGGTTCATCCCTGGTGGAATGGGTGCGCCTTGGGGCAGATACTCGCTGGCCGTTGGCTTCCGCCGGCCTGGCCCTGGTCAAGGAGGGGTCCCCTTTCCTTTGCTCCTCCGCGGCCAGGCTGGGCCTCGCCTTGGCCTGGGGTGGGCCTGGTGGGGAGAACCTGAGTGTGGCCACCTGGGCTGAGGCCCCTTTTCACGCCCTGCTGGCCCTTGAGCTGGTCGGTGGTTGAGATGCCCGAGGCACTCCTGGGGCTGCTAAATTTTCCTGGTGGGGGGCGCTCCCTCCGAGACTTCTGTGGTGCTGCAGGAGGGGCCTGTGCTGGGCCATGGGCTGGGTGACTCCCCAGGACTCCAGAGATTTTTATTCCAGGTAGTCCCTCCTTTGTCCCTGCGAGAGCCTACAGGGCAGGCACACCAGCAGCCAGCACCAAAAGCTCCGCAGAGGGCCAGGGGCCGCCAGGTAGCTTGTCCCCCGTGGCTGTGGCCGTGCCTCCGACGGATATCAGCCCCCTTGAGCCTCCACCAGGCCTTCCGCCCGCATCCCCCGCCCCCCGCATTCCTCTTCTTCCTCTGGGTCCTCATGCTGCTGACCCCACACCCATATCCTGTCTGGGGCCACATGTAAGAGGGGAAAAAAGAAAAGGAAAAGGATTTTATCAGATATTTTCCAGGGAGCGAGGTCCCCACCCTTTGACTCTCTGCCATGGCGACGGAGGAGGCTGCGGCCCGTGACTGACTCAGGGGCCAACTGTGGCCGCGCCAACTGGCCACCCTCCTCTGGGCTCATGCTGGACAGGGTGGACGCTGTTCTCACGGACTCGGCTCCTCCCGGGGCCCCTGGATGCATCCTTTTCTTCTCCGAGTCTGTGTCTCCGGAGCCCGGGGAGACTGGGGAGCCCCATGGACAGACTTGGGGCCGCGCACGATCAGGGCCAGGACAATGGACATCTCGAGGCCTGGGCGACAGTGGGCAAGGGTTCTGGGGACACACCCGGGCAGCTTCCCTTGCTAGCTCTGCTCCATGTGGTGGCAGAGTGGGCAGGCGTGGGGAAAACACAGCACTCCCTCCTCGAGAAAGCCTCGTTGGGACGGAGGCATGTTTCCTGCCTCTGTCCTCTCGGCAAGAACTTCCTCTTCCCTCCCGGGCTAGAGAGAAAACAGCCACTGAGGACGCCACCTCAGGGCCAGCTGGGGGCCAGAGCGGGTGACAGCGCCCCATGGGCGGGGGCCCCCACGTTCCTAGGGTGTACCCCACCTTTGCAGGAGCCCTGCTGCATGAGTACACTGCAGTGGGGGCTCGGGCCTGGGCTCCCCTCTGTGGGGTGTCTGCACCATCCTGACTTGGGGAAACAGCGAAGAAGCGGGGACTGTCGCTGACGTACACTATCCAGGTCTCCCGGGGTTGCGGATCCTTCGGCGGCCTCCCTGCCTGGTGAGCATGTGGCTCACAGGAAACAAGACTCACCTGTACAGTGGGACGGGACTCCCCACAGAGCCCCCCAGGTCCAGCAGGCAGTGGCCAGAAAGGGTCCAACAGCCACACTGAGTCCCTGCCCCAATGGGGCCTGGGGCCTGCTCTGCTCTAAGTCACGATTTTAAGCATGGGACACTCTTTCTAGCTACAGCCTCCGAGCCGGTGCCCATGGGCAGTAGTGGTGCCCACCCTGGGGGAGATGAAAGGACACAGCTGGCTCCCCAAGACGCAGCTGTCTTGGTTTTCAGAACGCTCCAAATTCTGGTTTGTGCACCCTCTCAGCTGTGGTGCCTAGGAAGCTGTCCCTAAGAGGCTGGCGTGGGGGCACCCACATGTGGCCGGTGCTTGTTCTGACCCAGAGCATACTCCGGGCGCCTGGGGAAGGCTGACACGCCTAAGAAGGTTCTGGAAGGCAAGCGTCTACGGCCTGGCGGGTGCAATGAGGCCTCGAAATGGCAGGTGTGACCAGAGCCTGTGGCCCCGGAGATGGGTGTTGGGGCCCAAGCAGGTGGGGAGGGGCCTGGCCCTCAGCACTCCCACAGCCCTGCAAGCCTCAAGCAACGGCAAGAGCTGCTTTGTCCTGATGGATGAGGTTTGGGGACCAAAGGAGCCCCAGCCCACCCCACTGGCACGTGCGGGTGCCGGGAGCCTGGCATAACACCTGGACCTGCACAGCTGCCGTCCAAACGGTATGCAGGCGTGGACTCAGGGGCCCTCGCCAAGATGAGGAGCTGAGACACCAGGGCTGCTTCGAGAGCCCCTGTGGCTGCGGCTGGAATCCAAGGCAGGCAGGCTGGGGTGGCCAGCGAGCAACAGCACAGCAGAAACCCAGGGTCAGCAGGCTTGACGCCGCCCGTGGTAGGCGGCTGCCTGTGGTGGGCAGCCGCCTGAGTCTGGACTCCAGGGTGTGGGCAGCTGAGTTCTCTGGGTCTCTGGGACGCGGGGGCCCCGTGGAGATGATGCTGTAGATTTGCTGATGGCAGGGCAGCCACGGCTGTGCCCGGCGCACAGGGCTGCCTACTGGACGTGGGGCCATGCAGGGTCTGCTGGTTGTTGGCTCCTGCCAAGGGCCTGGGCCGTGTAGCCGCCCTCGCATCTGCTGCTATTTCTCAGCTGTGACCGGGGCTTCTTCTGCATTCTTCTCTCGCCTTCCTCGGGCCACTCCAGCCGCGTCCAGTGTGGCGCTGTCGCTGGTGGGTGGTCACTGCAGCCAGTGCCGGCCACGCGTGGGGCGAGTATGGTGCCTCCACGTGTCTGGCCTCCTGAAGACTTGGCCCCTCCCAGGCTGCACACTGCGAGGGCAGGTGCTGTGCACCCCAGGGCAGGCCCCGAGGAAGGGGGGCCCACGCAGCGGAGATGAGCGCCGCCCCAGGAGTCGGACTGGTATAGGCTGGACGGGGCAGCCCTCGGTGTAGGCAGTGGGTGGAGGTTATGTCCGTGAGCTTCTGATGCCCCTGCAGAGTTGGGGTCAGTACTCGTGCGAGGAAGGTCACATCTGGGCCACGGCCTTGGATGGGTGGGGCAGAGATGGCAAAGGGGCGCCCAGCCAGGCCCCTGCCTCCAGGGGCGAGAGAAGGATGAGGGAGAAGCCCCAGCCACAGCTGAGAAACAGCAAGAGTAGCCCCAGTCCCTCAGGCTCCTGAACAGGGTCACTCCAGGGCACCCGGGACCAGCTTCATGCTTCCTGCCGCCCCTGGACCCGCAGGGGCCCCTCCACCTGGGACCCACAGAGGAGCCTGGGGGGATCATGTCCGTGTGAGCCGCCTGGGCCCCATGTTGGCTGGATTCTGTCCCCACCTTCCGAAAGAAGCCTGAGGCCGTGGGCCCTGGTGAAGGAGGGTGGACCACGAGCCAGAGGGATGGCACTTTGAGGGGAGGCCTTGAAGCAGGAGGATCTTCATGGGGCTGAAGAGAAACAGCCTGTGCTGGTGGAGAAAGGGCCACGAGAGGGGGACAGAGGAGGACGCAGCTCCCCTCCCTCTCCCGCTCTGCCATCCCCCCTCTCCTGCTCCACTCTCCTCCCTCTCCCACTCCATCGTCCTCCCTGGCGGGCTTGATCCTCCTTCTTCTGCTCCATCCTCCCCCCTCCCGCTCCATCATCCTCCCTCTCTCGCTGCATCATCTTCCCTGGTAGGCTCCATCCTCCGCCCTCTCTGCTTCTTCCTCCCCCTCTCCTGCTCCATCCTCCCCTCTCTCCTGCTACACTGTCCTCCCTGGCAGACTCTGCCCTCTCAGCACTGCTCAAATATGGCCCTGCCTGTGGCTCCACGTGGCTGGAGCAGGCTGGTCTGATGCTGGCGCCTAGGTGGGCCAGTCCCGTCCTCCCAGCTGGTGACCCTGGAGCCCAGGGAGTGGGACAGGTGCTGTCATGGGGCTGCAGCCAACGCAGGTCTAACCTTTCCTCCCCGGTCCTGCAGCCTCCGGGATCGCGAACACGGAGCCTCCCACCCACGCCACCATGGAGTCCACAGTGTCCACAGATCTTCCTCCCCCAGGGGGGTCTTCAGCTGCCCCAACGAACATGTCCCACCAGGAAAGCGCACTCCCGAATGTCCCTGGAAGCACCAGCACCTCCGCCACCCCCCAGAGCAGCAGCGGGGCCACGGACCCTGGCCAAGGTGAGGACCTCCCAGCCCGCGCTGGTGCCAGGGCTTCGGGCGCAAGGTTGGGGGGGGCTGTCCCTGGTGGAGGGGCAGGTCGGGGGGCCTGTGTCCCCAGTGGAGGGCAGGCGAGGTCTTGGGCTTCTGCAGGGCCCACCTCTGGTCAGCCTGCATGCGCGTGGCAGCACCAGAACCAGCTGCATGCATGGCACTGGGAGGGTAGGCTGTGGATGCGGGGCTCAGCCAGGCCAGCTCCGGCCCCGGGGTGTCCAGGGCCACCCTGTCCTCTGCGTGTGGTGGTAAGCATGTGAGTGTGCGCGTGCATGTACACCAGCACACGTGTGCCATGTCCACTTCAGAGCCCTCCGTCCACCTGACGACAGCCACCCCTGAGGCCACTGCCATGCCCAGGGCCTCCACAGTGCAGGCGCAGACCTCTGCCACGGGCCCCACGCCCACCGCCTTGCCCAGCACCCAGGTCAGCGTCTTCGACCCAGTGGTGACCCCGGGGCCCAGCACGCCAGCGGGGAGCACTTTCAAGCACCCTCAGGACAGCACCAGAGCTGAGATGGCTCCCACAGGGTCCCTCACATCAGGGCCGCCTACCCCAGGCGCCAGCAAGGTGGGTAAGCACCACGAGGGGGCTGCACCTTGGCCTCTGTGCGGCCCACGGGATGCAGTCCTAGAGGGTGCACTGGCAGAACCAGCCACGGACCGTCAGGGCTGGAAGGAGCAGTGCGGGGGGGGGTGTGAGGGGGAGGGTGGAAGGAGCAGCTGGGGGACCACCTTGGTGATCAGGGCCCGGCCTCCTCTGCTCCTCCCTTCCCTTGGGCACCTTTAGAGACAGACTGGGGCTGTCTCTCCTGCTGCCCTCCAGACCAAGGCAGGTCCTCTGGAGTGCAGGAAGGGACTGCAGTGGGCAGCAATGGATGGGCAGGGGGCTCAGCCATGCCCACGGCCCCAGAGGCAGAACAGGAAGGTGAGGGTGAGCCTCCAGCAGCCTGACTTCTGCTCTCAAGGAGCCAGATTAGGGACCCAGAGTGCCTTGCCCCCCAGAATTTGCGAGGTGTGACTCCCTGATGGGAGAGGGCCTGAGAAGAGGAGGGGCCTGTCTCTGCACTCCAGCTCCTCAGGTGTCCCAGGGGCCACCAGGCACCCCTTGGGCGCAGGCAGCAGAGATGGAGGGGATCACACACCATTGTGAAGTCCAGCCTCCCAGAAACGCGGACCTTTCCTTTCCGCCCAAACCTCCCCGGAGAGAAGAAGGGGGAAGACCCAATGATTCACCTGCTCTCATTCCACTCAGGGGAAGATCACCTGTTCCCAAGTCAAAGAAGTGAGGTTGACCAGAGGCATCTGCCTGGAGCTGAACGAGACCTCAAGCTGTGTAAGTGCCCCCCTCCACGCCCCCCTCAAACCCCACCCTCTCCCTGGGCCCCCAGGCCCCTGACCAACCGGCCAGCCTCTGGCCCTGCTTGTCTGCTCTGTCCTGGCTCTGGGCTCAGGGAGTAAGGGCGCCCTCTGGTGGACGGACGGGAGAGACACCCAAGGGCTGCGCTAGTGTTTGTATTGTCAGGTTCAAGTTGGCCTTGGCGGGGGAGGGAGTCCTCCGAAAATTGTAAGGTCATCATTGGCGCAGCTGCTAGTCCCTCCAGCATTTGCCCCGGTCCCTAGTGCTTGCCACAGTCTTGCCTGCTTTTGCTCTCCCCTCTGGCCCCAGCGCCGCAGCCTCCTGCAGTGTCTGCGTCCTCCGGGCACCTTTCTTTCTGTTTTAAGTTTTGTTAATTTTATGCTTTTGCATTTGATTGGATGCTTTTACAGTGAGGCGGGATGTCTTTCCTCCTTACACTTTAAAAGATATTTTTGGTCTATTCCTTTAGAAAAACTTTAGAAACAGCTGGTCAAGAAGCCCCCCGCCCAAATCACTTTTAATCACAGCTACTCTAAAGCCCCCCCACCCCCGTTCCCCGATCGTCCCCGTGAGGGTGGCATCTTGGTTTTTCACCTTAATTTTTCTCCCGCGGGTCTGTGTGTGGCTGAGTTTGCTGGACACGGGGACTGCTGTGTTCTGGGGCTGCTGGTGGTGGAGCCGCAGCGTGAGCTCAGTGCTTCGGTTGCACCAGTCATGGCTCTTCCCGCAGCAGCCGGGGAGACCTCCGGCTTCAGCAGCGGTGGCTCTGCACATGCCTCCCTCCTTCTTGGAGAGTCCACTGAGCCCAGGGCCCTGGCCCAGGACCAGGAGGTTGTGCTGGTGGACAGCAGCCTCCTGGCTATCATCAGTGACCACATGTGTGTACCTGGCCTGGGCGGGCAGCTGAGCACCCCTGTGAGGGCCCCACATTTGGGTGCCCTAGAGCATGACCAGGTCTGGCGGACCTGGTCACTCTTCCAACCATCCCTGTGGTGACAAGTGACTCAACTTGCAGGTCTTTTAAAATTGCACCCCCGAAAATTCTCTCACCTTTAACAACAGCACTGTGAAGTCAGCTCCCAAGGCGCGCCCAGACGGGATGGGCAGGAGGCAGTGTCCAGGCGGCATCCAGAGACCTGAGTGTCCTGGCTCATGCGCGGGTAGCAGAGGACTTGGGCTGGCTGCACTGTGGGACCCGTGCCCGGTGGAGCTACTGGAGCGCTGCAGGATCATGCTCAGGAGGGTCATCCTGGCCCTCTCTTGCAGGGTCACCCCGACAATGCCTTGCTCCCTCACTTGCCAGGCTCTGCTGTTGCTGCCATCTTGTGCCAGGTCTGTGGGCACAGGAGGATATAAATGGGGACGTAGGAAGGGACAGTGGGGCTGCTGGAGAGCCCCATTTCTGAGGGCGCCTGTCCTATGCCCCAGCAGCAGCACCCACGGGTGATCTTCCTCGTCAGCACCCCTTGTCCTGGGTTTTTAGCACAGCTTCATCCCATGGGATCCCCCACCCCAGCCTACCCACATGTGTCTGAAGGTCAGCCCTTCCTGAGGCCGAGGGGGTCAGCCCTGTTTTGGGGTTTGGTTTGGGGGTGTCAGAGGCCTTAAGGCATGGGTTCTCACCAGCGAAACTCAGGCCCTACCCCGGTGGAAGAAAAGTGGCCCCCAGCCTGCTTCCTGAGATCTAGGTACTGTGGCCTGGCTCACCTGCGGACCCTGGAAGAAAACGCCCTTGCACTGCAGGAGCGTGGGGGGAGAGGGAGGCGCATGGGGGCAGGGGAGGGCATGCACCAGGGATAAGGGGGGGGGTGCATGAAGGAGCACACGGGGGAGGGGTGATGGGGCCAGGGAGGGCATGCAGGAGGGGTGGGGGAGCTTGCACAGGGGAGGGGGCACACAGGGCTGATGTGGGGGGATTCTGCCATGAGGGGCGGCATCTCAGCTCCTGCCCCCAGGTAATTTCCAAAAGTGCTTTATTCTCTCAGATTCCACTCATTTGTGCAGGGGAATACACCAGAAAAAAAAGTTACTGGCAGTAAAATACAATGGGGGCATTTCTGAGCTAGGGCTGGGGTGCCGCTGGTTTCTGGGGGCCGCCACCTCGGAGCCCCTGGGTGCAGCTCCCCTGGGGAGCTCTAGAGAGGTTCACAGGACTCCCCATTTTCTGGTCAACCATCTCATTTCTCAGAGACAGGTTGGGGGGCTCCACATAGCTGGGGCAGGTCTCTGGCCTTTTCCAAGTACAGTCCGCTGTGTCCCCCTGCACTGCCATAGGCCCTGGACTTGCTCCTCTCAGCCCTGTGAATCTGGGGGCTCCTGGTTTCGTTTCTTTTGGTGTCTACTCAGAAGTGGCCTTGCTGAGCCCTTGGTGAGGCCAGTGGACACTCTGGGGACCCGGTCCCGCCTCCCATGCTGTGCCCGGTGCCAGGCAGGTGCCCGGGCTGATCGCATTCAGTCTGCTGCTGTGGTCTTAGGGTGGCCGCCATGTTGGGGGGAGTGACCCCCCACCATGGGCCTTCCAGTGCCTTCTCTGACTTCCTGCCCCATGGGGTGTGGGGAGCAGCCTCGCTTCGCCCTCTGCCTCCCCATTTATTCTCGGGTCTACCCTAGCTCCATCCACAGTGGGAGCCAGTGCAGTCAGGGTGCGGCTGCAGCGGGGGTCTGCACCTCCACTGGCTTGGAGCCTCCAGTCCAGGCGGCACCTCCTTCCTTTGTGACCTGCACCTCTAACCATGTCCATGCCGGTGACCATCCCTCAGAGGCCCCTCTGAAGAAGGGCCAAGGCGCTGCCAGCCTTGACCTCAACTGGAGAGGAGCTGCTTTCCAGGGACCCATCACGGGGACCCTGCCGAGGCCGGGGAGGCAGTGTCTGCCAAGCAGGCACCTGCTCGCAGCACCAGGGAGTGGTCAGAGCTGGCCAAGCTGCCCGACACTGCCTGGGGTCAGGAGGGTGTTCTGGGCCCTATCCTGTGCAGGAGCCCCGTGGGGCTGCCGGGAGCTCTGGCAGGTGCGAGCAAAGGGCAGCATCGCAGGCGCGGCTTTTTGGCCCAGCCAGAAAAAGGGCCTTGGCCCCATGGGACGGGCTCTGAGGGGAAGAGGGTGGAAGCCTGAGGCTGAGGTCCGCGGGGGGGGGGGGGGGGGGCAGCCCCTGGGGATGGGGCCTGAGGCGGTGGGCAGGCCCTGGGGGAGGGCAGGGGGTGGGGCAGGACAGAGCAGCCCATGGTGTGGGTGGAGGAGGGGATTAGACAGTCCATGCGGAGGGGGCAGGGGTGGGGGTGGGGGGCACGCCCAGAGGTGCTCACAGGCGCGGGTGCACTTCCCACCTGGAAACCAGCACCATCTCGCGGCTGCCACCCTGCTTGCCACCAAGGGCTGCTTTGCCCAGGATCAGCGGGGCATCCAGGGGCTTCCCTTCAGTAAGACAGCCAGCAGGTCGTGCCCCCTGGTAGCTCCGGGCCCACTGGCTGGTCCCTGGCGCCCTTGGGTGTGGCTCTTACTGCTTGCGGAGGGGCTGGAAGTGACTTTCTAGCTAGACTTGCAGGACAAGAGGACCTTGCATGGAGGGTGCCATGTGACCTTGGTCAGCGCTGCGCTACCTCTGTGGGCCTGGTCACTCACCCCCGCTCGCCTCTGTGTCCCCAGGAGGACTTCATGAAGGACAGCGGCGAGGAGCTGGCACAGGTCCTGTGCCAGTCGGAGCCGGCAGGGGCAGGGCCGTGCTCCTGGCTTCTCACCCAGTCTGAGGTCAGGCCTCACTGCCTGCTGCTGGTCATGGCCAACAGCACAGGTGAGGGGGCAGGGCGGGGCGGGGCGGGCCACCGGCCAGGCCAGGTGTTTGTTGGAGAGTGCAGCGCTGGGGAGGGCGGCCACCTGAGACAGTGTCCACCTGCTGTTGCAACATCTAGTGTAAGTGGCTGGCCCCGCCTCTAGATTCCTAGCCCCTGTTTCTCATTCTAGAACTTTCCAGCAAGCTCCAGTTCTTGAGAAAGCACCAGTCTGAACTGAGAAAGGTGGGTTCTCTAGGTGCGGGGTCTAGAGCCCCTGGTCATGTCCTCTCCATGCTCCCCCTTCCCCTTCCCACTCGCGGTAGCAGAGGAGGCCCAGCTGCATGGGTAGCTGACTGGCTAGGTCCCTCAACATGGGTGGGCAGTGACCACAGCGTGGTCTCCCTCCAGCTGGGGATCCACAGCCTCTCCGAGGAGGACGTGGGTCACCACCAGAGCTACTCCCGCAAGACCCTGATAGCACTGGTCACCTCGGGGATCCTGCTGGCTGTCCTGGGCATCACGGGCTACTTCCTGATGAACCGCCGCAGCTGGAGCCCCAGCGGGGAGAGGCTGGTCAGTCTTGGGTCCAGGGCGAGGGAGCTGAGCATGCGGTGGTGTCGGGGCCAGGACACAGGGCAGAGGAAGCAGGATAAAGGGGCTACCTGGGGACGCACTGGGGCCACCATGGGGCAGGTGGGGAGGGTGGGAGGCCTGTTGCCTGTGGGAGCCCGTGGTGCATGGGCCTTCAGGGATCTCTTTAGGAGAGCTCAGTTGGGCCTGGAGCAGCGACTGGGTCACTGCACTCTGGGCCAGGCACATGCAGGCAGGGGCCGGTGGGGTGGGGGGCAGCAGGCAGGCTGGACTCCACTCTGGGAGGCCAGAACAGAGCTGCTGCTGCAGGTGTGGTGCGTCCTTTGTGCTTTCTCCCCCAGGAGCTGGAACCCTGAGGACGCACAGGAGCAGGTGACTCCCCTGCCGCCCGAGCCTCGCCCCTGCTCACAGATAATGCCCCTCTATTTGTGCTCCGTCTAGGACGAAGACCCTTACTACACGGAGCACGGCGGGGGCCAGGGCTCTAGTGCAGGCCCCAAGACCTCCCCGGAGGCCCAGGGAAAGGCCAGCGTGACCCGAGGGGCTCAGGAGAACGGGACCAGCCAGGCCACGTCCAGAAACGGCCACTCATCGAGGCAACACGTGGTGGCTGACACTGAACTGTGATGGCCGCAGCAGGGCGGGGGGATCCTCCAGGTCTGGTCTCTGCCTGGAGCCCGCCCACCCACCCACCCACAGCCGCCCCCCAGGCACCTGCAGTCCCGACCCAGACTCTGGCCTCTGTGAGGCAGGGTGTGAAGGGTGAAGCCCAGGAGCAGGAGCCAGGCGACTTGCGCCCTTCCGAGAGCCCCGGGGGCGAGCGGGTTTTTCTGGGCCATGGCTCCTCCCAGGGGGCCTTGCCTTTTCTTGCCGCCACTGACACTCCCTGTCTACCCGCAGCCCGGTTTCACCAGCTCAGGCCTGGAGCATCCCTGCGCCCCACCAGCATGCTGCCCCCCTACCACCTGCAGAGCCTGCCATGCTCTGGCTCTGCCTGGGCTGGGCACGCAGACACAAGTGTCCCACGGCAAGGGGCGAGCAGGCTGCTTGGGCCTAGTCAAAGGAGTGCTTCTCCCTGGGGGTCAGAGTGGACCTTGGGCCAGGCCCACATGCTGAGAACTCTGGCTACCCGGCCAGGCACTGCCTTCTCCTCCGACCCCCACCCCCCACCTCCCACCTGACCCCTGGGCTGAGCTGCGGCGGCAGACCCCAGCAGACCCCCATCACTGCCTGCACCCCTGTGGCTGGGCCCCTGGACATGCTAGACACCCAGCCACCTCCTCTCCTCCCTGAGGGGTGAGCAGGGGTCCTGGTGTCAACGACGGTTGGAAATAGAACTTTCCGGAGATGGAAAGACTGGGCGTGCTTTCTTTGGAATAAAGCTGGTGTGTGCACCTCCCGCGAGCACAGGGCCTGCACCCCGCTGGGGACCCACAGTCCCCTCAGCCCTGGCGTACATGCACCGTGGGGAGATGCCAGCAGAGGGACCCTCTCATGCTTACCCAGATACTGCCCTCCTGGCAGCTGCTGGAGAGGAGCGGGAGGGTGGGGTCTTTGGAATGGAGGGGCATGCTGGGGACCCTTCTTGAACACCTCCTGGGAACACCAGCATGAGTGGGCATCTGCAAATATGCAAAGCGGGTGACCCCAAGAACTGTGCACCCCCAGGACTACTGCTCCCCCACCCCTGCAGACAGAGGTCGACATGGGTGCTACTTCAGCTTGCGCAGTGAGGGGAGCCGGGGGCCAGGCCACAGGAAGGGGAAGGAAGCGGGTCACTGTGGAAGCTTCAGGGGCCCCACCGCACCCTGTCTGTGCAGCCCCCACTGCCCCGGCCTTGCTGCAGCCACATCACCCAGTGCCTCAGCCAGATCCGAGCTTTGCTAGAGGGGCTGGGCTGCAGAGGGGAGTGGCCGCCTGGAGGGTGAGGTCAGGCTGGCATGGCTCCTCATGCACCCAGGGGGCCACAGAGCTCTGGCTGCAAGGCCCGACCCCGGCAACAGGAGGGGAGCAGAGGCCAACTCGTGGAGGGTGAGCTGGGAGGGTGAGCGTATGTGAGCGTGCGCACACACAGTGTGCATGCCTATGTGAGCATGTGTAAGTGTGTGGTGAGTACATGCACATGTGTGTGAGAGTGTGCACGTGTTGGGGAGTAGCTGCCCTAGAAGACTCCCCCTTTCTGGAAGTGAGTCCTGAGCCCCTGGTGTGGGCAGTCCCCGCCAGGTGTGGACCCGAGCTCAGCACACATGGGTGAGGCTGTGCAGGGGTGCCCACAGGACACCCCAAATGCTGGTCTGGTTGGTGTCACACACGAAGCTCCTGTGACTGTGGAAAGTCGCCCCCCATTGGACGTCAAGACAGTCAACCTCCCTTCCTGGCCCTGGGAAGATCAGCCGGGCCCAAGAGTGGACAGGTCAGCCCCATCGCCCAGCTCCTGGAGTCCTCTCACCAGAAACCCCACTCTGTGGCATGGGGTTCCTTCTCCTGGATGTCACAAAGCTGGCGAGGCCACGGGACAGTCCTGGGCTTCACCCCTGGGCTTCTAAGCAGCAGGAGACCTGCCCCCTAAATCCCCCCACCCCCCCTACCCTGTCTTGGTCTTGCAGACCACAGGGGACCAGGCAGGGGTGTGAGGGCTGGGATGCCGAGGGGAGGGTGCACGGGCACGTGGGGAGGCAGCCATGCAGAGGGTACACTTACTTATCTCTCCCGTGACCTGCCCTGTGCCCCCAGGCGGGTGACCATGGTGCCAGCACCATCTCCCCAGACCTGCAGGACTCCCAAGCCAAGAGGCCAGGCGCCCACCCTCACACCTTGCCTCCTGCGTGCCAGTGCCGCCGCCAATCTCACCGGGGTGGGGGGGACTTTGCCACACTCGGCTATTAAAGGCCTGTGGTACTAATTAGCCTATGAACTGGACTGTCTGTCCATCCACACGTCCCAGAGGGAGCGCCGCCCGGGGCCGCAGACAGAAACCAGCAAGGCCAGCGGGAGTCTGAGATCCCAAGGGGAGGCTCTGCTGGGAACTGGGGCTGTGGTCTCTATGGAGTGGAGCAGAGCAGTTGCACCTGCCCACGGAAAGCCAGGCCCAGCAGCGGGGTCTGCAGAGGGCCGCCCGGCACAAGACATCCCAGAGGACGCCTGCTCGGACCCATCTGGGAGCCGCCCCCTTCAGGCTCAGAGCTCCTACAGGGTGACTTCCTGACCTTCCTAAGGACTGGGATAGCTTGGGGAGCGGCCCAGAAGCTGAAGGGCCTGCGTGTTGTGACCCTGAGGCCATGGCCAGGCCGGGACCCCACCCCTGCTCCAAGGCTCCCACCCAGCCCTGCTGCTCAGGGCAGTGGGCCCTGTGTCCACCATACCTCACGACCTGGGGGATCCAGTGGTGGCACAATGACCTCAGCCCTTCTTTTTCACAGCCCCGCTGCCCTCGGCCCCCCTGAGTGCCGACTGGCACCACCACGCCTACGTGAAGACTGCACATGGTGCACCCCGAGTCTCCACAAGCCTCAGCCAGCACGGTTGTCAGTCCTCTGGGCCCCTCCAGAACCTCGCACACCCCTGCTGTAGGCCGCCGCCTGGCCAGTTGTGCCAGACCAAGGCACTCCACAGCAAGCGCTCCATGGGGTCTATCACCAGACAGACTTCAGACGTGGGGGAACAGGAGATCTCCATTCCCCAGACTGAGACCCCCCCAGACCCACAGCACAGTGAAGGGGTCCACCGAGGAGATAACCCCCCTCGGGAGGCCAGGAAGGGATCTCCTTAGGAGATAACCCCCTGGTGGGCCAGGGAGGGGTCTCCAGGGGAAATAGCCCCTGGGGGACAAGGGCCGGGGTGCCTGGGCAGCCCCAAGTTCAGCTGCTCCACACCCCCCTTCTGCCCCAACACTGTGGTTGATATTGTTCACTTTCCAGCAATAGTCCTTAGACAGCCTTGGGGATGAGGCATAGACACATCGGGCGGCCAGGCCTGAGACACTCAGGGTGGGACACCCAGCTCCCCTCAAGGGCAGGTAGCACACTGTCCACCTCCAGGTTCCCCACATGGTGGTGAGTGTCTGCTCCTGCCCGGACATGAGCCGGGGGCCCCTGCAGGCTAGAGGCCAGGGCTACAGGTATCCCCAGCACCTCCACCCCCAGCCAGGGTCCTGGACACAGGGGCTCTACTTCCTGGGCAGAGCTGAGTGGTGCTGGCAGGGCCAACTGTGTCTGGCCCCCGCCAGCGTTTGTGAGGGGATCCAGGGCCTCCTCTGATGCTGGCCAGGTCATGCTTAGCATGAGTGACCAAAGGGCAGAGGGAGGCGAGGGCCGGGCCGTCAGGCTGCCGGGCTGTTGGGCCTCACCCTGGGCACAAGGTACAGGAACCCCAGGGGGTGGGGCAGGGGTACGGAGGTGTCTGGAAGATACGCTGGCAGGACGTGGTGGCTGGGTCTGAGTCCGGCGAGACGAGAGGCCGCGGTCATCTGAGACAGACACTGCAAATGCAGCCAGAAATGGCGGTGGCCTGAGTGCCAGCCAGCCCCGGGTGGGGAGGAAGGGCCCTCGAAACCGCCATAGGAAGTGGGTTGGCATCGGCAGAGGGCAGTGAGGGCAGAGTCAGCAGCACCTGGCAGTGCCCCTGACTGGCCGAGTTACCCCAGGCATAGGTCTGCTGTAGGGCAGGTCTAGCCCACACCGTCGGGTCTCTGCTGTGACCAGGGGGACTCTTGGGGGAGCCCTGGTGCCAGGGCTGGGCATGCACACGAAGGACAGCGTGGGCCATCGGAGTCTCCTGAACTAAAACATTGCCCTGGCATCCTGGCCCCTCTACCCACCGCTGTGGTTACTGACTTGCATCCCACCTAAGAGCAGGAGTCGTTGCAGGCGGGAAACCGAGCTTAGCAGCTCTTAATCTAGAAGGAGCAATGAGACGGCAAGACACAGAAATGGGCTGCACTGTGCAGAGTGTCCCTGGCGTGGTGGATGCGGGGCTCCCAGAGGCGTGGGTCACACCGGCCCTGCAGGCAGAAACCCTGAGCAAAGGGCCCCGGGGCACCCCCTGCCCGCCTTGTTCTGGGGGCTGGGGTCTCGAGAGCTCCTTTCCTGTGCACATGTGCTCTGTGAGCCAGGCCCTTTTCTGGAAGGAGGATTCACAGTCTTGCCCAGTTTCACAAGGGCCCAGAGCTAAGAGAGGCTGACAGCAGCACGCAAGTCCCGGTCAGAAAGGGCCGCTGGGCCAGCACCTGTGTGTGCTTTTTCAAACAAGCCGGGCTGCAAGCGAAGGTCCCTGCCCTCCCTCTGAGGTCAGGGGCACAAGGAAGCCTCCCCTGGCAGCCCTTGGCCAGCCCACCCCGTTAGCCTGTGGGGCCGCAGCAGGCGGGCGAGGGGCTCAGGGGTCTGGCCAGGACATTGTGCCGGCGCGGGCGCACGGGCCAACGCGTGACATTTCCCACCCCAAGGAAACCCCCCTCAAGTTCTGGGAATCTGCGAGCGAGCACAGGAGCAGGCGCAGGTCTCTCTCGCGCTGCCGGCCTTGGCCGCGGGGTGGCGCGGCGCGGGGGCGTGGGGAGCGGTGCGCGCGGCAGAGCAGGGCGTGCTTCCAGGCGGCTGCGCATCTGAGAGCCTCCAGCTTCTAGGGGTTCCTCCGCAGGCCAGGCGCTTGGGAGTGCTGGGCGGTGACTGCGCAGCGCTGCGGGGAGACGGTCCAGGA